CACTACTGAGCGGCACGGGGGCTTTGACCTGCTCCGTTTCCGACCTGGGCCGGTGCACTCCTCCTTAGACGACCTGGTGGTCCCGGGCTCCCCCAGGAGCACCATATCGATACCGAACTTAGTGCGGACACCCGATCGGCATAGTGCACTGCAGCTCAGAGCTCCTGAGCTCAAACGATCCGCCAGCCTCAGCCTCCCAGTAGCTTGGATTAAAGGCGCGCGCCACCGCACCCGGCGATCACAACCGCTGCTGCTAGTGCTTTTATCTCTTAGCCAGATGACGTCATTGAACACAGCAGCCATATTGCTTTTTTAGTAGACTTTTATTTTATGTTATCAAACTAAAATCTAATCTTTATTTTTTTTCTACTAACAAGAAACAAACCAAAAACCTAATAATTATTTTTTATTACCAAGCCTCCATTTTTATTCATTCATGCTTCCTCCGTATATTTACTATATACACCAAAATAATCCTAGTTTTAAAGGTTAAAAAAGGTTTTATCTGCTGCTAGAGAGAAGCTATGTGCGACATTATTGTATCGCTAAAACAGTTTTATTATTTTACTTCTTATTCCTCTAAAACTGAACTTTGCTACCTTTCAAATCCAAAGAGCAATTTGCACTGAATCCAGCTAAATAAAGGTCATTTAGAGCGGAAAAATATTGCATTAATTTTTTATAATCTGTTTTCTATTCTATCAGTTTAGAAAATAAAGAGAACAGAAAGACAAAGCACACATTTTCTTCTATAGGGTATTTTCTGATGTAAAAGATAAATAGACATAATTTTAAGAGCTAATTTAGAGAAAAAATGCTCTAAAACATAATTCTGGTTCTTTTAATATCACTCTGTTGTGAAAATTCTATTCAGATATTCTTTATTAAACTACTAAAGCTTCTACGACTGGCATTTATTATTATAGTACCCTAGTTAGTTGTTTATATTATTTTTAGCCACTATTAAGAGCCATTGTTGAGGGTCTTAAGAGCCATATGTGGCTCCAGAGCCACTGGTTGCAGATAACTGCCCTAAAATGTGGCTTTTCTGCCGGTTTTGGTGGGTTTAGAAGTTGTAGATTAGGAAATATATCTGCAAACATTTCCTTTGGGTTTACGACATCCAGATACAACTATGTACAAAAAAAAAAAAAAACCCAGATATCTACTGTATTTTATTATTGCATCCACACCTCTCCTGGTTTTCAAGATTTTCTTCCAGGAAAAATATTTATGGCATCATCATAGTGATATAATCGGTTATTGCTCAACATTTAAAGCATGTTAGATCTTTTTAATAACCAGATTTAATGTGATTATATTAAAGGTGAATCATTTCTTAATTTTGTGACGCCACTGGCCTTTGCCTTTATTTTGCCGACACTTAAAAGGAGGATGATGAGAGAACTGCTTTTCATTAATCTAGATCTGTCAGATCTGTGTTATTAAATTCTAAATTATAAGGAGTAAAATTGTTTACAAGATAACCCAGAATATTCTGTCGTTGGTGTTTTTCCCTTCCTGCTACTCTAGACTAGTTGTTATATGCTGCTAAATCCTCTTTATTCTTTTAGTTAGTCCGTTCATTACAAAGGTAAATATATGAGCTGTTTTAAAGCGTTTTATAAAGAGTCCGACTAGCAGGATGCATTTTTACCAATATAATTGACAAGAATAAAACCTATACAAGTCTCATAAGGAGCCATATGATGAATTTTGCGTGAATTGGTTAGGAACTAACTTGAAAACAAAAAGTCTTGCCAAAGATTCAACCCATGAAAACGCTTTGATCTGATCTGTTTAAATCTATTTCTATAAAAAGGGCTTTAGAAATGCTGATTGTGTATTTGACCAGCTGTGAGATTAGGTTCATACAGCAGATTTTTGTTCTTCTTTATGAATTTAAAAAGTCAAAAATTAAACAAACATTAAACATCAAACATTTAGTGTCCTTATGTGTATGCAATATTTGTTTAAAACAAATATAGACACAGTTGGCTGGTAAGGAGTGTAATTATTCATGAAAAACGTGGTGGAGGGAAAAAACTATGGAAGGGATTCACACAACATTGGTTAAACAAAAGGGTTTTATTCTAACACTGTTCATGAAGACAAAAGTTCATGCATGATTGAAAACTAAATGTTACATTAGGAAAAAATAGCACAGTCCAAATGTTTGCTTTTTTTTTAAATCACACTGAAAAAACAACCAACAGCTGGACACGATTTTCTTTGGTAGAAATGAGAGAAATGACATCAAAGGTATAACAAAAATATGCTTGAGGTGTAATGGAGTAAAAAAGGCAAAAATGTCATCATTCCCAAGAAATGAAGGTGCTTTTTAATGTTTTTCCTTTTAATTCAATGAAATTCCCTCTGAAGGAGCCCTTCTCTCAGGAGCAAACTCACTTCCTGCAGCGCTTCATTTATCATCTTCTGTCACTGGGATTTTCCCAGTCTTTAAGGAAGTTCCGTTTATATATATATAAAAAAATAACACAACCACAGTTTTTAAAATGCCGGTATCATCTGAAGAGTCAATGAAAAGAAACATTAAACACACCCACCTATGTTTTTTTTTTCAAAGTAAATAAACTATATTAAAAACACGTCTGGAACTAAAACAGGAAGGTATTGCCATATATTACAACTAGAATCCTGTTTTTAAGCTAAAACTCAGGGAAAAAAACACATAAGTCCAACAGGGAGTCAACAGCCAGACCATGGAGGTGACCTCAAATGTTTTAGATAAATGTACTAATAAAATGTACTAATTTAGATAAATGCATAATACTAATAACAAAGTATCTATTTATTGATAATTACCTTCAGCTGAATCCTTTTTTCTTCTAAGTGTCAGAGCTAAAGGATTTGAACTAGCTTGTAAACTCTCCAAACTACTGTTCTGAGCTAACGTTTCTACAAACTTCCTTTAACCACCTCAGAAACCTTCCTTCCCAGAACACAAATGGGCGCAGGAGACTTTGCAATTACTCCTTTCCTTCTCACGTTTTTTATGTACTGAATGTAACGTTTTAATTTTTCATTTGCAATATTAGACGCCTTGTTAGCTTTACATCTTTCATGATGTTTTAAATACATTTCCAATAAAAAAAAAAACTAAAAAAAATCTAAATTAATTAAACTACAATCAATTATGAGCCATAATATGACTGATAAAGTGATAAAGCTAGATCAATCCTGATAAATTCCCTTTCCAGGAACAGTTTCTATTTGTAACAGTAGGGGAAGCATAACAGGACACCTTAGATCAGACGTTCAAACAAGGAAATAATCGTGCAAAAACTGTTATAGTTGAATTAAACCAAAAAAACATCAAAAATCTGACCATCATGACCAGGGGCGGTTCTAGACCAAATGTACCTGGGGTCAAGAGGGGGCCAGCGTGTTTTCATGGGGGCCCAGAAAAGCATGAAATGAAAAACAGGGCAAGGGATTCAATATATATATTAAGAGAGCTGCTTGACATGAAAGTTTAATTAAGATTCTATATCTTATTAGGTCAAAATACATTCAGAATTTAGGATTTTTACATATTTTTGATTTAATTTCAGTTAAAATTACAGTTTTCTGTAAAATATGATTTAGGACTCAAGAAAAACTCATATTTTCAGATGTAAAAAATGTGATTATTTATTTTTGTTTTGAAAAAAACCTTTAGCAGATGAAAATTGGGATCCTATCTCAATACCACTGAAGCTATCACCTGTTGTTTTTAAATAATTAGTCAAATAGATCCAAAGGACCTATTAGTAACCATGTCTGTTGCAGCACAGATCATCATTACAATTTTTTTTAAGTATTATGTCTTTAGTACAGGGGTCATCATCTACAGGGGCACTGGCCCCCGATGGCCCCTGTCTAGACCCGCCCTTGATCATGACTCTACAGACTGATCAGAGATGAATCTAAAATAAACGTAAAAATGAGCCGGTGATCTGAACATGTACGGTCGTACGCTGACCTCTGCTAGCAAAGCGTTAACCACAGTGTTCTCTGCAGGTCAGTCTGCGGAATTCAGTCATGTCAGCTTCACAGGTTTAGTAAAAATCTTAAATAAAGAATAAAATTCTGTACAACCTGCTCTACTTCAGTTGCTAGAAAACATAAAACATTGCTTCCATAACGGCGGTTCATCTAACTAAACCAGAACCAACAGTCCTCTGCAGGTGAATGCTACATGCTTTCCTACAAACATGCTCCAAAATAAAACAAACAAAACATGAAACATTTCATCTGGACTTTGTTTATAACACATTAGGCTGTTTTTTTTCTTCATTTTTCTTCTCAGTCATGAAGAAGACGGGAACACAGCTGGCCTTTTAGGGTTGCCACCCAGGGCAGCGACTTAATAGGGAGTGTCAAGTACTTTTCTATTTTGTGACTTAAAAAGATAATTCTTCATGATCGGGCCCCATAAATGGTGTTTCAAGGAAGAAAATAAGTTAATGTCTATATTAAAAAGCTTTCCTAATTACAGAGTTTTACTATTTTGTCTGCAAGCAGGCTTCAGAGTATTAAATGCTAAACAAAGGTGCCATTCATGTAAGAACCTCCACTGTAGGGAACCTAAAACCAGTTTCTATGAGAAAACAAGATCGTTCTGCTCCTGTTTGCATCTTAGCTTCCATAAATACAGTCTGTAGTGTCTTAGCTCTCAAGGTGTTGTCAAATGTTAAACTCCAAATAGTTCTTTTAATCTAACATCAATCGCATGGGTAGGATTGGACTTTTGTATGAGATACAAAAACGGTGATGGGGTGATTGGTCAATGGTAGCAACAGGGCAGGGCTTTTCTAGAATAAGCATGAACTGATCCCAGAGGGACCCTTAGTGGCAGTTTGAGGGAGAGTGGCTGGAAATGTAAGGCACAGAAAGTTTCAGCTGGAGCGTCGTCTCCCTACATCTCATCAGGGGATCAATCTGGGGCAAAAAGAATATTTTGGCTTCATTCAGAAACCCTAAAGAGTTTGTTGAACGGCTACTACCATCTTCGCTCCTCCTCTGTAGTTTAACAAACTCTAACAAAGGAAAGTCTAAGCCCAGTGTCTCCATGTGTGCTGAGTTTGGACGGATCATGGATGACGTGTTGAGCAGAGAAAGGATGGTCCCTAAAGGCGGGTGAAAGGACCGACGTGCAGAGGCCCCCTCAGCTTCGGAGACGAGCAGGAGTTGGTGGTAAAGAGAGAAGAAGGGGAGGAGGAGTAAGGCGACGAAGAAGCAGACGAAGAGTCGCTGTTGAGGGTGAAGACACTGGAGATGGCCACATCGATGATCCCTTGACATAATTCTGGGTAGAGTTTCCTGAAGGAGGCAAAGGTAAACAGAACAATGAAAATAACCTAAAAGACCCGTTAGCTCTTAATAACAAGATAAGAAAAAGATGACGCTTATAGTTACTGACTGAGCACAGGCTGGAGCGCCGTTGATCTCAATGAGCCACACTTTGAAGTTTTCATCCACCATGAAGTCAAATCCAAAGAGCTGGAAGCTCTGGTAGGAGAGGTGCTTGGTGCTGATGGCCGCCTCGATGCATGACAGACAGCTCCTGAAGCCACACAAACCAAACTCCTTCATCAATAACTACATGCTGATCGCAGCAACACTGAATGTGACTGACTAGTTCCATCCAGGGTTCCTACAGCATAAGGCAAGTTAAATTCAAGACATTTTAAGACTTTTTAATGCCACTTGAAATAAAAATTTAAGACCAAATTTACAAAAAACACAAGAAAAACCTGCTTGCGACAACTTAACCCAAAGGTTTATTTTAACATAAACCACTGCACTAATGTTTCAAATTTTGAAAAGCTTCCCAAACAGGAAGAAAGCTTGAACAATTATTTAACTGAATTCACAAACTTTCTTTTAGCAGGGAACAAAACAAATCAGTTTTAAAGCCACAACATAACAAGTGCTAAGTCTTTTTTGCAGCTATTTTTCTTTGTATCGTTTTCTATGTTTGATTTGGTGATAAGTGGAGGCATTGTCCATCTGGAAACCTTCCGTTGAAGTAATTTTGGGAAGGGGCGAAAACACTGGTTAGCTGATTGGCCTATGTTGGTGATAGACGGGCCAAATAAACCAATCAGATCAACGAAGCATATGACGTACTAACAGAGCGACGAAGAGGAGCCAATTGATAGATCAAACTTTTGCCGAAACCAGTCGGGAGAAGAGCAAAAACATATTTTCCTCTGAGAAAAGATGTTTTTGCTCTTCTTTCAGTGAGGAAATACTCTGTAATTCCGATAAAACTTGCTCGATAGCCACGCTAACGCTAGTTTCATCGGCTGAAGCCGCCATGTTCTTCAGACTGAACTGTCGCGCTTCTCGTTGCGTCACACTTCAACCCGCCTCAAAGCCAACGCTGATTGGACGTTCGTTTGGTGAACGGCTCCAAATTTTCTTTAACGGAAAGTAGCCAGACTGATTAGCGAGTGAAACCTTGAAAGCTCGCGAGATCAGGATGGTCTCACAAAGACAAAGGTGGAACTAAACTGAGAAATACCGGCTGTTTCTCTGTAACTCCATTTTGACGCTTTGTGTTTCGTGCTTCGCATGCGACTCCACTGCCTTAATTCCCATCGTTCTGAGCTTGAATGACTTCTTGCACAAAATCCACTGAGCCTCATGTATGTTCCCTGGTTTTAGCCATGGAGGAAACTCTTGGCTGGAGACAATTTTGGTTCCATTTACACTTGCTCATATTTTCCAGACAAAAAGTTAATGGTGCATCTCCCAAATGTCCCGGCCGCAACAACGCTTTTATTGGTTCTGTATCGAACCAATAATGGCGAGCGATTATTTTTTTTTTTAATAAAAAAGAAATTGGGAATTTTAACGTTTAATTTAGATTACAAAAATAAATCGTAATAAAAATAATCCTATTTATGATGTTTTAAAAATTAAGACCTACGAAAGACTGATTTAAGACATTTTAATACCAATTAAGGTCTTAAGTTTATTTTGAAAAATTCAATGCCTTTTAAGAATTTTTAAGGACCTGCGGGAACCCTGTCCATCTTGCAAAGATGGAACTAGTGAAGAAATTGGACAAGCAAACACCTGACTAGTTGAGTTAAAGCCAGAAATGTCCTCAGGAAAGTAACTGGTTCTGCTGCCGACGTCAGATTCTCTTCTTAAGTTCTGTCCCTCTTATCCCGCTCCATTAATCAGCGCATTATGACCTGCTCTCCATTTACTGTTGGGCCATCATCTAATGTTACTTTCAAACCGCACCAGTAGAGGCAGAAGAAGCAGCTAGTTTCCTGTAACCTCAGTTCTTCACACATTCTAATAATGAATTCGCTGTTTGCTCTACTGTATTCGTCAGCCTGGAGGAGCTGAAATCGGGGCTCTCAGCATGCAGTGATGATGTCAAAATATAAATCAGCAGGAAGGGAAACTTACTTTATGATGTGTTTGATCTGAGGTAATATGGCTGACTCCAGGGTGACGTTATGAGTGTTCAGGAGGTACAGCCTGAACTCGTCAAAGAACATCTCGTTCCCCTCCTCATAGCGTCCGTAGTTCTGGGAGTGCTCCTTCTGGATGCAGTGGTTGGTCAGGTGGCTCGTCATGTCCTGGAGGTCCGAGCTGTTGTAGGGCTCCGACGAGGTGCGCAGCACGCCCTCCCGGTACAGATAGATATTATACTGATGGTCCACCAGCACCCAGCTCCTGTCAATGGCTCAACATTAAAGGTCTGACATTGTTCACACAGCTTCGCTCCAGCTGGATCATCTACCTGATGTCGAACTTCCGGTGACCCGGTTGCAGCAGCAGCGGTTTCTCCAGGTACTTCTGGATAACGTGAACCTGTCCCTGATTGTCGATATAATCCAGCAGCTCGTTCGCATCTTGTGAGATCAGAATACCAGCACCTGTTGCAACAGAAACGTTTAGGCTGCTACTGTAGTAAAACATCAGTTTAAGCCTGCAGACATAGCTTTTAAAGCTAACTTAAAGGTATAAAAGCTTCTCTTTAATATTTATGTCTTGGATTATGGGGTAAGTTGAAGAAAAAAATGCAAAACTGGACGGATGAATGGTAGACGACCCCCTAGATTAATACCTAGATCCCAAATTAGCAGATTAATGGATGAAATAAAATTTGGATTTTTATTTTTTTCAGGCCTGGTAGGATATAGAAACTATGTCATTATTTCTGCCTAAATTCTGATAAAAAGATAAACCTCCTTTAGCAGCGTATAAGATATCAGATACAGCCTGTAAGTCAGATTCCGTTTTTACCTTTAGCTCCAGCAGAAGACTTAGCGATCCACACCGTTCCCTCTCCGCTCTCTTTTTTACCGTGGTACGAGGCCAAGAAAACCTCCCGCTCGTCTGTTTTAGGATTGCTCTTCAGGTGACTGATGCCATTGGAAGCAGGAGCAACGGGGGTGTTGAGGTTCGTCGGGTAGATGATGTAGGACTCTGGAAACCAGTTGCTGGAGTCCGACAGCTCTGGGCTGGTCTTTATTAGCCTAATGGTCCAGAGTTAGCTGGTTAGCTGATTCTATCCTATAACACAAATCTGTTGCAGTCAGAAGGAAAAACACTCACTTGACCAGGGAGGCTTTTCTGCAGAGCTTGTCTGCTCCTCTGTAGTAATTCACCAGCTGCACCAGTCCTGGTTCATGGCCTGAATAAAGGAAGACAAAAGCTCTTAAACACGTAAAATCCTTGAGTAATTATTAATGTTGAAGGGATAAACAGAACGGACCCTCAAACCTGCAGTTCCTGTAAGAAAAAAATCTGATTCTTTATGTTTAAAATACTGCTGCCCTGTGTTCAAAGAAAGAGCTGCAAAAAACAACAGCTAGTTCACACTAGTATATCTTTAAATTTGAAAAGTTAACTCATATATTTAAATATACAATGGAATTTATTACATGGGTCTATCTCTGCTATTAAAAACCTAAAGTTCATTTTCTTTCTTTGTTTACATGAGGGCTTGTTTTTGCTTTAATTATTGCATCAGTTCCACCTAATACCTTAAATGATGGAGGACCATGGAAACTTAACACTGAGGCTCAAGCAACTTGGATTCTTCCTCTGTCCTCAGAGTCTGTGACCGCAATTTTTATAAGAAATTTAAAATTATCTCATCCTAAAGGAGGATAAGTTACTATTACTAGCAATAAACCAGTCATTTTCCTCTGAAAAAGTCTTTTAGGAGTGGCTTAACACAAGAAGCATTGCCCACGTCCTTAGACTTAGACAACTTCTATTGTGTTTTGTGTGCAAAGTGTATAAAAAATGAAATTTTATTTAGTGCAGCTTTCCAGACAGTAAATGAACATTTCCATGCCATCAAGTGCAGCAGTGATCAAATGTTAACGGTGTGGGGGGGAAATAAAAACACGCCATCCAAGATGGTTGTGCCTGAAGGCAGCGGCTTGCTACAGCTCCAGACGAAAACATAAACTACGCCGATTAGGATGCTACAAAGTAGGCATCGATGATGCATTTACGACCACCAGCGTCTACTGGAGCTTCGGTCACAACATGTCGTTTCTGGACCTGGATAGCTCTATATTTTATTTCTATTGAAGCTCTGACTCCAGAAAGCGTTCCTAATGTTGGTGTATTTTTTCCTTCCACTAAACTTCCCACTCTCATTGTGTCAGTGTAACTCATAGGCAGCTATCAAATCAGCATTGCTCCTTATTACTGCCTTATAATCTCTGTATTATAAATCATTTTAAACATTGACTGACTGACATTGAATGTTGTAGATTAGCTGTAAATATAGTAACCACAAATACCATAAATTAGTGACGTCATGAGATGACGCTTCATTGGAGGGGGCGTTTCCCCGAGGCTTTTCGAGGCTTGCTTCATTTGGGGGAGGAGCCAAAATAGATGACGTCCGAAGACTCGCTACCCACCATACCACGTGACGAAGATGTGGGAGTTTGTAGGAGAGTTGGATATCATTAGGCCTAATCAGAATCAGAAATCTCACCATCACTATCATAAATAAATGCTTATAAACTATAATTTTGTTTGAGATAGACTATCTGAACTGTTTGGTAATACCAATGTTTGGGAGTGACCAAAAAAAAAAAGTCCCAGCATCTGTTTTTATGCTGACTGAAGGGACAACAACTAAAACAACCAAAGCCATCACCTACCAAGGCGTCCAAACGGCAGTCTGTTGCGTTCACCGAGCATCAGGTTGAATCTGGGATTGTCTCTTTTAAGCCTCTTCCAGTGTCCAGTGGAGAGGAGGATTTTAGACACTTCTGCATAAATAGTGCTGTTATCGTCGCGGCTAACAAAGGTGTACATTGGAGAAGTCATCTTTCCACGCTGAGAGCAAATACACGTCTGGTAAATACTAATTCTGGTTCAGTGTGTTAGCCGTGGGAGTTATCACCTCTGGCATGATGATGATTCGGTCATATTTCTACCGGACTTAAACTGCTCCTCACTGAGCCAAACCCAGCAGCTAAAAGCTAACACATGTCAGTGTTGTTATAGTAAAATAATATCGACAGTTTTTGCATGCTGCTGAGCTAATAAGGTTGTTCAACTGATTCCAGATAAGGGTGTGACTGACTGCTGCTCCGGTTCCTGGGGCTGGTCCCGTCCGGATTCAGTCACATCCCGTCAACACTTTAGCTAGCAGCTAAACAAACTGCTATTTCCTATGCTATCAGTGGCTCTGTAAACGCTTCCGCTGCTCACAGAAACCACAAGCGGAGACACAAACCACTGAAAATACAAACTTCAGGCTTCCGAATCACTAATACTCAGCATTTCCCTATCTGCGGCGTGGGCTTTATCCTCTGAAATCTCAGGCATCCGCTGTCGTCCGCTATCGCCAGTATAAACACAGCGGTCTGGCAATCTGGGTAATGTAGTTTTAATCTTCTATAACACCGAGAGTAGCTTATATCAACATAGTATATTATATCATAAATGACGCTGTGGGTGAGTTTTAAAAAAAGATGGGTGGAGAAAAAAAAGTCTGTGTATTCTGTCAAATTAAAGGCGGTGTTCAACTTTTTCACAAAAGAAAATACCACATTTCCCAAAATGCAATGCGCCATGGCGTTCATCGAACCTTCCTTCCAGCAAGGAAATCAAACGTTATGGCGTCCCCCATCTTGTGAGTGGAACATTTGGAACTGGCTTTTCGCAACAAATCAAACAAGATTTAAATTCAGTTGCTTTTACATTGTCGGTTTCTTTCTAAAATATGATTCGTGACAAGACTTAGATTCTTATGATATTAATAGGCTAACGGCAACAACAAAAAACAGCATATTCTATTCAGAATAAGAAGTAAGAAGTGGGAAAATGTACTAGAAATGCAGCTAAATCGATTTATTTGAATTTTGAAAGTATAATAAATGCTTTGAATATGTTATTCTAGTCATATTTTTTTTTAAATGTATGTTATTTTGCGAGGAATTTTTTTTTTTTTTTAATTGTTAGGCTTATTTTTATAGATGATGTGTGAGTCTGTTAAACCCCAATAATAAGTGCCTGTTACGAGTCAAATCTAATGTTTTCCTTAGTAGTTTATCTAACTGGGACACTCATTATGTACATATTAGAGATCTGGAAATGAAATATTCCCTAATATAGTTTTTACAATAGCTTTATAACAAATAACTACTAACATGTATTGTAATAGTGTTTTATGTTGTTTAAACGGGAAAAATGTGAGTGTACTGACATGAAAAATATACAAAAAGGTTTTAACGTTATAAGGGGTTACAGCGAAATAGTTCTATAGGTATTTTTGCCACACGCAATATGGCGTCGAATTGTCTATGGCTATTACGTTATAGACCACAAGATGGCGATGTAAGCCTTTCTGCAAACTGGAAGATATCCTCCAAATCATGAAAAAATAGAATATGCTCTCTCTTTAGAAGAACTTTCAATGAATTTTGAGGAATTTAGATTTATCTGAACGAAAAAATTAACCACTTTATGTGAACTGTAACAATGTTTGGATCCCATTTCTCTTTTGATAAACATTTGAAACCAATTAATCCGTATATTGTTTCAAAAATTGTCCTAATACATCTAATTAATACTGTTAATAGTACATTGTATTGCATTATATATATTGTATGAAACTGTGTTAAAACAAACTGGTCCTATAGTAACTCTATTACAGATGGAGTAATGTAACGAAAGTAATTTCTCCCTGGGATTATTAAAGTATTTCTGATTCTGATTCCCGGTTGATGGGACAGGTGTTGTGAATGAAACGGTCCCCAGCTTAAAAGAGCTCCTGTGTGTCGCTGAATGTGTGCATTGATGACTGAAATACATCTTCTGCCTCCGTTTATCTGTTTACTACAGTGAGTTAAATTCATGTTAATGTGGATTTAAAGACATTTCAGTTAGTGGGGAAAAAAAAAACATTGCAGGGGGGCATGTAAAAAAAAGTTTTATCAAGCAAAACTTTCGCGACCACCATGCAGTACCTCCGAAGACCCCCTAGGGGTCGCAGACCTCTTGAAGACCTCCGCTTTAGGTCGAGTTGGACCGACCTTAGAAAGAACGAAAGAGATAAGTGTAATGCAGTTGTTTTTCATTATCTTAGATAAATCAGTGCAATTGGGAGGATTTAAATCTTATTTTGGTTTTATTGGTTTTTGTTTAGTTGATTTTGTTTTGTTCAGTACAAGCAGGATCCACAGTCCAAACCAACTGGTGGCGGTAATGCACCATTTCGTTGCGTACCAACCACGAAAAAAAAAAAAAAAAAAAGTCCAATAAAGAAGAAGAAGAAAGTTGGACCGAAACAGGAAGTGATCTGGCGGAAGCAGAAATCAAGTGGCGGGATTTTACAGGAGTCCCAATGGCGTTTTAAAGCGAATCAGTGATCATAGCAGTAAAAGTGATAAAGTGTTTCAGTAGCGTCTTCAGACACAGCAGTGAAAGCAGTGCTAACTGTAAGTGATGGCCGCCATTCTCTCATTTGTTCCTCGGCTATGACGTAGAGCTGTTTTCTGAAAACTGTCAAAGTTTGGAGGACAAGCGATGACGTAATACAGCATGTAAATATTTCGACACAGATTTAAAACAAATTTTAGCGCATTTTATTTAGATTTTGTGAGATAGGCTAACAGAAAGTAGTGCAAACTATTTGAAATATAACGTAGATTCAAGCCTGTGCGTAATTAAAATATAATTGTTGTAATTGTTTTAGTTACTGATTAACTCTTAATACATTCCAAGTTCCCAGTGCTGTTTGAGTAATTACTATTAAAAAAAAGTTTGCAGTACAGAGAATTTTCTTAAATCCACAGATGAATTTCCTGAAGAAAGTTTGAAGAAGTTTGCTGGAAATGATAAAAATTCCCCAGAAATCCTTCCTGTGAAAGTTTCCCTGTTAAACTGCTCACAGAAAACCCTTTTCACTTTGTGCTTGCATCTCTACTTTAAAGCTCCACTTACAGAAGTGCATAGATAATAGTTATCCTATTGACAGAGACTGCCACCTGAGCTGCTGAGTTCTGCAGCTCCTCCAGTGTAACTATTGGCATCTGTTTCAAATTGGATTAATGCCCTTTTTTTTGAATGGTCAAACTTCTGCTGTTTTATTTTCTTAAAATTTCTTAACAGAAATGCTGGAATTTTTTCCTTTAACTTTCCCGAAAAAAAGTAGGAAAAACTGATAGAAACTATTCCTGTTTTCTGCTTTAGGTTGGATTGGTCTATTTTGTTTAACAATAATTTTTAAATAATTAACATTTTCCTTCTACACTCAAAATAATTTTCACCCAAATTTTAAGTTTTAGGTAATTTTATTAACTAACAAATTCTTATTAATTTTTCTCAATCCACAGACCTATTAGATAAACGTATGTGATGCATAGTCATAAATCTAATATAGCTTACTTATCTAACCCTTTATAGGGCAAGTTACCGTAAGGTCTAGGAGCACAAGATCTATATCCAGCCATTCAGCAAATATCCTGCTACATGGCTGTACATCTATTTTTGGCAGTTGACCAATTAGATGAGCCCTTGAATGATATATTTACTGTAAATTAAGTAAAAAAAAAAAACGTAATAAGCTATTAAGTAAAAACTGCCTGTATCAGCATTAATTATCTAAAGTTATGTTTAAACAAAAAAAGGTGATTCTTAAAATCTATGAGTGTTTTTCATGAATTTCTTATTGAAGAACTTTTATTTTAGTTAACATGTTAGGGCAAGTGACTGTTTCTGTAATTACATTGACCTTGATTTTTGCTATCAAAATATAAATATTTTAAATAAACTAATAAGGTCTTTTTCCTGTCCTCCACTAACACCCTTAGCTTAAAATTTGGATTTTCAAACAATTTCATTTAGTGTTCTATAATACATAATTGACAGGTTTATCTATTTAGGAATAACGAAGTAATCTTACTCAAAGTTAGTAATGAGTGTATTATTTTAATTGCATGAACTTTATGTATTTGAATACACTAATTTGTATTATGGGTAAGTATATTCTATTAATACTAAAGACATAAACCTGGTGACTTTTTCAAATAAATATGCTTTATTATACAAATAATAAGATTTGTACGGAAGAGGATTAGGGCCACTGAAAGAAAAAAAAGTTGACTGATTTTTAAATTTTATTTCAATTTAGTATGGGGAAAAAGTCAGAATTCTGACTTTAATCTCAGAATAAAAAAAGTCAGAATTCTGCCTTTAATCTCAGAATAAAAAAAGTCAGAATTCTGACTTTTTTTCTCAGAATTCTGACTTTAATCTCAGAAATCTGACTTTAATCTGAGAATTCTGACTTTTTTCCTCAGAATTCTGACTTTAATCTCAGAATTCTGACTTTAATCTCAGAATTCTGACTTTAATCTCAGAATAAAAAAGTCAGAATTCTGACTTTTTTTCTCAGAATTCTGACTTTCATCTCAGAATTCTGACTTAAATCTCAGAATTCTGACTTTAATCTCAGAATAAAAAAAGTCAGAATTCTGAGATTAAAGTCAGAATTCTGAGAAAAAAAGTCAGAATTCTGAGAAAAAGTCAGAATTCTGAGAAAAAAAGTCAGAATTCTGAGATGAAAGTCAGAATTCTGAGATGAAAGTCAGAATTCTGAGATGAAAGTCAGAATTCTGAGAAAAAAAGTCAGAATTCTGACTTTTTTTATTCTGAGATTAAAGTCAGAATTCTGAGATTAAAGTCAGAATTCTGAGGAAAAAAGTCAGAATTCTGAGATTAAAGTCAGAATTCTGAGATTAAAGTCAGAATTCTGAGATTAAAGTCAGAATTCTGAGAAAAAAGTCAGAATTCTGAGAAAAAAGTCAGAATTCTGAGATGAAAGTCAGAATTCTGAGATGAAAGTCAGAATTCTGAGAAAAAAGTCAGAATTCTGAGAAAAAAGTCAGAATTCTGAGATGAAAGTCAGAATTCTGAGATTAAAGTCAGAATTCTGAGAAAAAAAGTCAGAATTCTGAGAAAAAGTCAGAATTCTGAGAAAAAAAGTCAGAATTCTGAGATGAAAGTCAGAATTCTGAGATGAAAGTCAGAATTCTGAGATGAAAGTCAGAATTCTGAGAAAAAAAGTCAGAATTCTGACTTTTTTTATTCTGAGATTAAAGTCAGAATTCTGAGATTAAAGTCAGAATTCTGAGGAAAAAAGTCAGAATTCTGAGATTAAAGTCAGAATTCTGAGATTAAAGTCAGAATTCTGAGATTAAAGTCAGAATTCTGAGAAAAAAGTCAGAATTCTGAGAAAAAAGTCAGAATTCTGAGATGAAAGTCAGAATTCTGAGATGAAAGTCAGAATTCTGAGAAAAAAGTCAGAATTCTGAGATGAAAGTCAGAATTCTGACTTTCATCTCTGAATTCTGACTT